GCGCTACCCCTGTAGCCGCCCCGTTGCCTTGGAAGTGGAGGCTCCGCAGGGTTTTTCTTCGAAGGGCGCCTCCCGCTCCATCTCGGGCTTCCTCGGAGGAGGAGGCCCCGCGCTGCGAGTGCCTGTCCTGCAGCTTGGAGAGAGTCCTGTAGAGCAGGTCAGCCATGCCTCGTCTCCCAACACGCTTCCTTCCTTCCTTCAACGAGTGGCCCAGGACCCCAGTGAGCCCGAGGGTCTGGTGGCAGGGTGGCCCTCGGAAAAAGGCGGCGGCGGGGGCAGGAGCGGCGGGGGCAAGCGCAGCACCTCGCAGTACTGTAGCCCGCCCAGTAGGAGGAGCGCCCCATGGTCTCTCTATAGCCGGCGCTCGGTGCGAGCGCCTGACTCTCTTGGCTTTCGCTGTCGACGAATGACAGCAGTTTGAATTTCCCGCTTTCCCCGCCTCTCCGGCCCCTTTTTTCCCCCACTTTTTGGTTCGTACGTCAATTCTCCGTTCGCAAGTCAAAATGGATTTTTGCGGACGGAGAAGTACGCAACTCAAAAAGTACGCAACTCAGGCCATTCGCAAGTCAAAACCCCACTGTATGTCTTTACTACTCTGGCTATGTCACCATGAAAATCCAACTTCTCTGCTCTATACCAAGAATTCATTCTAGCAAGTTCCAGATGTTTTAGGCTGCAACTCAAATTACCCCCAGCAAGCATAATAAATGAAAAGGGGTTATAGGAGTTGTACTCCAAAAGATACATGGAAAAGTAGTCAGCCAGATGTCATATTGGCCAACATTAATCCATCAAAATTATGGAGAAAAGGTATTAAAAGTAATCAGTTGCTTCCTTGCTTCTTCACAGTAAATAAGTTACAATCAGCAGGCTTCCCCATTGCAGCCTGATAAACATATACTAGACCAAACAGTTTACCAATCTATCACCAAGCAAACCATGGTTGGTTCCACAGATGAATCCCCAATGTATATTCCCAGGAGTCACCAGACAGACTCCGATCCATTCTGACAGCAGCTCTTTCAGTTCCAGGTTCAGAGTTTCTGCTGCATCTCATCATTTCAAGTAATTATACAGAATATTAATAGGTAGGTCTCATTTGTCTGATGAGACCTACCACAGTGGGGTAGGGATTATGAGGAGAGAAGGAAAAAGAATCAAGAAGGTTCTACCCAAGAAGTTATCCAACAGCCATGACTAACCAAAACATCTAGAAAAGCCACTGCAGTTACACTTCACTGGGCCTCATCCCAGCTTTACTCTGATATCACCTTTACCCAGGATCACAGGAAATCCTTAGGTGCTCTTGCACTAAACATTCCACTTTCCCAACAAAATTCAGAAATATTGAACAAGCATGCCAAGTAAGATTGGAAATTCACAGCTCACTGTTTTGTCACTTATATTGCAGTGACATGCTCTCTGAAGAGTAGTTATATCTTTGTGTTTCTGTACATATGCAATAATGAAATTTACTATCAGCTGCATGCCTGTACCAGAAATTACTTGTATATTTATACTGGATGTTGACAGGTAGTCTCCTAAAAATGTAAAATGAGAGAGCAAGATTAAGCCTATGTAAAGTTTAGAAGCATAAAAAAGACACTTGCCTGGTGCTTCACTGGCTTAGGTGACTCGGGCTGTTTGTTGCAAATAAACAAATTCACATGTTAGCAAGTCCGACCTTCCCTTCCCTCTCCCCATTCTGCAAGATTTCACTGTGTTCAATTTCATAACAAGAACTAAACTTTAGCCAGATAATAAAATGTTAATTTTTTTGTTCCAAGACAAAATAGCATCCCATGAAATACCTAAAAGTGTTCTTTACTATTAATTCATAGTTTAGGCATTACATTTATTAAAAGGTCTGACACTAGTTTCTTCAGCCTTAAATATTCTTAGTATTTCCAAGAGACCCTTATCAATCTGTTAAACTACAATATTCACTTTCTAGACTACAAAGAAGGTTTGGGTCTATTTTTTGTGAATGCCTGTAGCAGGATGTAGCAGATGCATACAACTGTAAGGTGCTCAGAAGCTACTCAGATCTCTTTTATGAGACAGAAGATTGCAAAAGTGAGTGTGCTCCACACACAGATGAATCTCTAATTCTCCGTAGAAAATATAATACCAATATGCAGAGCTACAAATGTACTGGAGCTCTGAAGCATTCTGGATTTTTTTCTTAAACCTGCTTACTATACGTAATTCATCATTTGCCAAAATGGTGCTCCCTACTCCCCGCCCCCAGAAAAAAAAATCTCTGCCAGAAGCCTAGCAGTCACACTTAGCATTTTTCTGTGCCCTTTTAAAACAAACTGAATTATGTAGACTAGAGATATTGGAAATAAAAGGTAACTACCATAAAGTGTCACATATCAGAAAAAACAACCAAACATAATTTATGATGCAAATTTAAGCCCACATTTTGAGCATCTGAAATGGATGCCATTATTATATGGTTACTAAATGCACAAAATAGTGTGGGGAAAGACCATGCACAGCAAATTCCAAAAAATAACAAGTCAACTGAAATAACATGTGGATTTTAATATTATAGCCAAAAAGCAATTTTAAAAAGGCTGCACTATTAATTATACCCTCTATTGCAAAAAGTACAGCTTCATGTATTTCCCATAGGCAGCAGAACTATATAAAACTATAGCAAAATCCTCTTAGTTATGACTACAAGCATAATTTAAATGGTGTAACCTTTGGAGCCTAACTTATTTCTTAACCTGAGTCAATGTGCCTCCAAACGTTAAGCCATTTGTGTTATGCCAATGTGAATTTTCGCCTAGGCTGAAATACAGCATGCATGCTCTATCTCCAATGTACATGTGCCCAAACTATGAAGTATCACCAACAGAGAGCAAGCAGTTAGCTGCCAGTAACTGGTGGGTTTTGCCCTCAACTACACCACTGTCCCAAATATACAACTATATCCTGTCTTAAAACTTAATTCATAATCAGTTACTCAATTGCATTTTAAAAGTAACTGAAGCAGGACACTCATAGATACCATTCTGGTATGAAACTAAACTATTAGCGGAGAGTAAAGAGCTGTTTTGCACCCTCTTATCTACTGTGGATGCTGTGATGTATATTGCTACAAAGAACTCAGATGAAAGCCTTCAGGATCTGGATTTCCATGCACAGCCCCTCCTTCAATCCCATTTTTGATGCAAGAATACAAAAGAATCTTAAGAACTAGCATTTATATTTATAAAAATTATGACAATGATTATTGCAATGAAGACATAGGAAGGCAAATGCCTCGAAGATTTTAACTTTTTATCTTCCCACTACAAATCACCTAACTGCATACAGTAGCAGCATAAACCACATGGCACAAGGTTATCAAGATCTGACTTAAATGAGTGAGGTTTTTTTAAGAAAAGCTTAATAATAACAATACCATAGTCTCTTGAGACTGAAGGATGCCTAACTCAACCAAAAGGTACTACAGAAGTATATTAACTAAGTATCTGTAACACTTCAGTTGAGGTCTTATTATTACACTCTGAAGCATCATATTAAATTTGATTAGAGTACTTATATTTTCTATTCAGCTTATTAAACTCTATTATATTTCTAAAACATTGCATTAGATTTTGTAGTTACAATTTTTTAATATTCAATACATAGAGAACAATATTACACACATATATCTGCTTACATATGCTTGTTCAATAAACAAAGAAAGAAAAACTAGAGATTTTTCTGGATGCTCAGTTTAACTGACTTCCATGGAGCAAAGAACTTTTATAATGTCCAAAAGAAGAGAGTAAATTGTATAGGGTGCAAATTTTCTTCTGGTTCATACCAGAATTAACCCTTTCTGGAATAAATGCTGGCTGTGATGAACACAGGCTGGACAGGGTTACATAAAACTTGCTTGTATCTTAAATATGCATCACAAGAATGCTTATGTCAACAGCAAAAGCATCAAGATATATTTTAACATCCAAGATCATTCAGAAGTAGAGAACTGGGCCTACAAAAAAATGTTATTCAATAATATTTAGAACCAATGATATATACAGACTAAGAATTCACCAAATTAGAAAACACTATTAAATTTCAAATACATTTTCTATCATATTGGCATCAACTCATTTATGACTATTAGCTGCTATGAGATGTAACTATAAAAAAAATGGGGCAACATGTCATGTCATATTTCTTCCCGGCCCCTGTATTCCTCCCAGTTCAGACTGCTCTTACCTCAACAGATAATGCTTGCAACAGCAAAGACCAACACAATGCTGGGAGTTTTGTTATCATTTTTTGCTCCATAAGACACACCTTTCCCCCCCAAAAAAGTGTGGTGAAAAGTGTGTGCGTCTTATGGAGCAAATACACTTCTGCAAGTGCTCCCTCTGATGTCGGGGAAAAGCCCTTGGAGACCTCCTGGGGGTCAGATCGCAGCGGTGGGGGACCCCCCAGGAGGTCTCCAAGGGCTTCCTCCAAGCCAGTGGAGACCTCCTGGGGGTCCCCTGCTGTCGCGATCCAACCCCCAATATTGGAGGGAGCCCTTGCAGACCTCCGAAAGCAAAAAGGCAGGGGAAAAGGGCTGGAAATTCAAATTTCCCGCCCTGTCCCCCTGCCTTTTTGCCTTCAGAGGTCTCAAAGGGCTTCCTCCAATGTCGATAATTAGCTGCGTCTTATCCTCAGGTGCATCTTATGGAGCGAAAAATACGGTATGTATGTCAGGCATAGATCAGACAGGGAACTCTCCTTTCCATATCCATCTCCCCTCTCACTCAAAAGCCCTGACCCTTGGAAACCAACACACACTATTGTTTGGCTCCCAGAGTCTTCTCAATTTTTCTCACACCTTAGTACTCTCAGAATGTTGGTTGTGCTACAATATGGATTTCCAAAATTCTTTCACAAGGCTTGGTGTATCTGGGCAAACTGAACTGGGACCCATCCTTGTTTCAAGCACTAAATGGCTTGTTTTTTCAAATGGTAGTTCTCAAGGAAGGAGGCAGGGAGGAGTTAGAAGTTAATCTCTCAACAGAATAACAAACTTAATTACATACAGTAAGTATTCAATAAACACAAATAATTAACCAAGAAATGCCAGTTAAAACTTACAGGAATGTTGTGATCCTTTCTTCCTTTATGAGAAGAAGCAACATGTGCAAGATACTGAATGACTTTCTTGGTGTTTTCTGTTTTCCCAGCACCTGATTCACCTCTGCAAAAATATATATAATTAAAAGCCAGTTTTATAGAAATGAAATAGTCAAGCCTTCACAATAGTGTAACTTCAAAGGTCACATTTGAATACATATTGCCGCACAACAGATACTGATGGCATTCAAAAGTACTTTTCATTACTGTACTTTTGAATAAGAAGTCTCAAAAGCAGTTTTTTACAGTTAATTCAAGTAGCAAAATGTAGTTTAGCCAACTCTTAGCTTGCTCAGTAGTTTAAAATCTTCATCTGGTTTACCTTCATTACTGCTCTGTTGGGCACCTTACTGGAGGTATATATCACATGGAATACAGCGGAATGCAGAAAATGGCTAAATAAGGATTACTTGTCCACACTTATCTATTTCAACTAGTGGCTGCAGCAGAACTGTTCACTCCAAGATCTAAATGTGACATACTGTATATACAATCTGATCTATAAATCCAGACACATTGTTCTATTCTACCTAATCCATCCTTTGCACTGTATCTATTACACTGAGTCTGCAGAAAGGGACTCTTGTTTAAATTATCTGTAGTACTCAGGAAAAACTTAGGTGCTTTATTTAAAAAGATCCATTACCTCCCAGATGCAAGTACAGTGGTGCCTCGCTTAGCAATGTTAATCCGTGCAGGAAAAACGTTGCTAAGCAATTTCATCGCTAAACAGAATTTAAAAGCCCATAGAAACACATTAAAACACCATTAATGTGTTCCTATGGGCTTCAAAACTAACCTTAAGCGAAAATCTTCGATAGGGGTGGCCATTTTCGGTGCCTCTAAAGCGAGGACACACAGCGGACGGCCATTTTGATTACCCGGTGGCCATTTTGAAACCACCGATGAGCTGGCCGAAAATGGGGGCTCTGTGATGATTGCTTCCCCGCGATCATCGCAAAGCGAATTTTCCCCATAGGGATCATCACTAAGCGATCGCTTTTGCGATCGCTTACACTCCGTCGCTAAGCGATTTCGTCGCTCAACAGAGCAATCGCTAAGCGAGGCACCTCTGTACATGAGAGCCATTCAGGAGGGCTCAGGCACATAACCTTTATGCAATCCTACTGTGATATACCTTGCTCAATCAACACACACAATATTCATGGTGTATTAAAATAGTCTTCTGGTGTCGCTACTGCTCGTGCTAAAAGGATTATTTTCACAAAGATAAATTTGTTTAGAGACTCTGCTACACCACAGAAGTATTCAGTAAGAACAAAGACTGACTGTATCTGGTAGGTATGGCATGCTATGTTCTCTTGTTTCACACACCACACCTCCTACCAGCTCTGGAACTGAAAAGGAATCAAATTTACTACAATGGATAATCCCCTTTGGGTAAACTGTATTCTGTCAGTCAAAACCACCTTGTCATAAGAGCAACAGCTATTTAATAATTTTCAAAATCGTAGCTATGTTAGTCTATCCAAGCATTTCAACAAGAAATGGAAAACGAAAAAGAAAGAAAGAAAGATACACACTGTGAAACCTTAAAGACTAACTGCTATATGTTAATGTAACAGATGTAGTGACATCTGGGAGATAATGTTTAAATAAATATATCCATTTAACAGGATATGTAAGACACTCAACTAAAATCACATGGGAACAAATGAAGCACCACTAATTCTCTTTACTCTACTGCCTTAGTTCTAAATCAGAGAGCCTAATAAGGCATCTCATTGTCTCTAATAAATAAAAATATGTTCTTCAAGCTTCTTAGTTGTGTCCCAACTATGGAGTAATATCAGAAAAAGCCTATCCAAAAAAGGGTGTATTTTAGGCATCCTAAGACTAAATCATAGAAGAGTCTGTGATTGCCTTTGGTGAGCATCACCACCATGCACCACAACCACATGGTGATAATTAACTAGCTCAGCCCTTGGAAATGTCTATGGCTTTCAGCAACTCTTGAAAGAGTCAAGAGCTTGGCAAGAAAGCCCATGAAGCTTTGTAGAATTAAGCCACGCCTAACACGATCCAACCTTGGGTAGCAGCAATGTCAAAGACAAAGGATGTTGCTTGGTTTTTAATATGGAAAACTAAGGCATGATGGTAGTGATAATAAGAGACTGCAACACCAGCATGAGGAATGCAAGAGCAACCTGCTACGTACCTTCCACATATTCTTCTCAAGGCTAGACAGAAATGTGAAAAGGCCCTCATGGCCAGATCATGTTAAGAATCTCTGAATAAAATTTAGATGAGCAACTTCAAATGTACAGAATACGTTTGTGGAGGGGGAAATTCATGATAATGTAAAACAAATGAAAAAGATGAATGCTCTGATCCTTTGATCTGGCCAGCTACAGACTGATGGCATACTATGTTTTATTTGGGCTGTAATGGCGTATCACATGCCTTCCAGTTAATTGTGACTTTAAAACTTTTCAAGGTTTTCCAGGTAGAGAATATTCAGAAACAGTTTACCATTCCCTTCTTCTGGGCACGCCCTGGGACCGTGCAGCTTGCCCAACAACATAGGTTGACTCTTCCTCTGGAAAGCACAGTGGGGACTCAAACTCCCAACCTCTAGCTCCGCAGACAGATACCTAAACTGATAGCTCAGTGGTCTAGGTACAGTATCTGGTTGAGAGTTCAATTCCCTAATGTGCCTCGTAGAAGAAGAGGCAGCTTGTGTGGCCTTGGGTAAACTGCAAAGTTCCAGGGCACTCCCAGATGAGGAGAATAGAACACCACTTCAGAATATTCTCTACCTAGAAGTCCCTGGAAAGGGTCGCCATAAGTCAGAATTAACTTAACAGCACACTATTATTATTAATTGCACATTGCATCATTATGGAGTTACAATCATCATCATAAAAATACGTTAAAAAGTTTGTTCCATTTACAGACCAGGTAATGCTTATCTAAATAAAAATAAATCCCACATATGTCAAAATCATGCAAGAACACACCGAACAGTTGAGAAAATATAAGAAAATGGAAAAAAACTATAAAGAATTCAAAGTCACCATAAAACATACAAAAAGTATGATCTAAATCATATAACAAAGCAGTTTAATTCTCAAAAAAAGGCAAAAGAACCTGCTGATTTTGTACAAACCTAGAGAGGCTAGGAATACAAAATAAATCTGGAGAATAAACAATACAATTTTGTGGAGAAGAATTTACAGTTACCAATATCACATTCAAACTATCACCAAGGAGACTGTATACACAGACATGACAAAGTAAATATTAGAGCTAATGGAAGAAAGATGAAAATAGGGGGAAAAGATACCAAACACAGAGAATTATACAAAAGCACTGAAAACAAAATTAGGAATGCAAGAGTGGTTCCAACAGAAGCAGAAAACTTGGAGATCTAATTCACTTTATGTGCATATAAAGATGGAGTTAGTAAGCAACAACATCCAAAACTGATGGATGAGAATAACTCTTTGATACTCAACATCAAAAAGTAAAATCATAACAAAGGGTGACTGCATTAATAAGTTGGTTGATGGTAACAATCCACAACAAACTATCATACTAAGTATTGATAAAGTATTGGAAATAAGTAAATCTGAAATCTGGACAAAATCTTGACAAAAATTGGCAGAACTCCTGGGTTTGATGTTTTCAGAGAATTATTAACAGTAGAATCTAGCCAAGACAGACCAAAGAAGGAAATTCTAAACCTTAGAGTTACTGTGAAACAATAAGCTTAATTAGGCATTTGCTCAATTTTTTAAAAGATAATGTACATGGTAACTGTACTGTCTGTAGCTACTTGGGCCTTCCTCTCAGAAAGATCACAAATGTGAGATACTGTACTCCAATAAACTGAAGTGAGAGTGACATGCTGCTAAGGACAAAGTGTTATGAATTTGGTGACTGCAGCAATGCATTCCTGAACAAATCAAATTAAATTAAAAATCAAAGAAGCATTCATTATAAGTCCAGGTGTGCAGAACTCTCCAAACCCACTTTGTAGCCAAAAAAAAGTAAAGACTGAAACTGGGCCACCATAAGCTCTCTGTTTAAAACACACACACAAGGGGGCGGGGGTTGTTTACAAACTGTTATAAGTTAGGAGGTTACACAGTGTCTTAATTGTGAGACCTACCCACTCAAAGGCTATACAAATACCATCCTTCTACAATCACACACACAAAAACTCAATCCTGAAAAGGCTTTGCTTTCAGAAATATATTCAGAAAATATAACAAATCAAAAGAAAAAAGAAAATTCCAGAAAACAAAATTTCCACCTAAACAGAGGTGCAAGTCTTTTGTACTGTTCTACAAAACAGACAGAATATTAACTGCAAAGGAATATACATACTTTGCACAGACCTCAGTCTGAACTCTTTTTAGTGCCCCAGAGTGTTCAGGGGAGATCTCGGGTTTTATTATAGGGTTCAAACTGTCACTTGCTTTCCCCTTTGGCACTACTTTAATCTACTGTATTACCTTTAATTTCACCTTTCCTTAATTCAAACTGGTGAGCATCTCTTTAATCTTAAAAATGCCAAGTGGAGTGCAAAGGTTCCATTGAGATTAGGTTCCTTTCCAAGGGTAAACAGTTCTGCCCCATAGGTATCCAAGAACTGATCTCTTCCATTTCTGCACACATGTCCAAAGACCATGTAGATTTCTAGTTGTGATCATCATCAATAACAGGGAAGTTCGAATGGCACACTCAAACGTAAACTGACTTCTGATGCCTACCACAGCAAGTCCAATTGAAATGAATGAGGTAAGGCAAGTAGTCTGCATAGAACATGAAATAGAACATAGAACATAGAAATAAATAAATGGGTGCCATGAACTACAACTGGAAGACCATCATGTGAAGAGAAGCACATGGAGCTACTGCACTGTTGGAAGTTACAAGACCAAGTAGGCATTGAATGGTAAGTGCTGTAGAAAGAGATCGACCTGCCACCTAAAAGAGCAAGGAAGAAAGTACTTGTGTGCCTTTCTTGGGTAGGAACTCAGAAGTCATATCTGAACTGAGAACTGCTCCTAAGAACTGAATCGGGAGAGCAAGGGC